CATCTGTAAACCAAACTGGACGTAACAACTTGTTTTTCAAAACAAGAGGCAGTGACGGTTCTTACCTTGATTTAGAACATGGTTTGCTAAAGGAACAGCCTCAGCCTCAGCCTCGTTTCCCCCTGGTCCTGCTCCTGGTCCTGGTTCTCCTGTAGACCAGTCACAGAATCATCATCCTTCTGGTGGTGCAGTGTGGGTAAAAACATCAGATATGTGTGGCAGCAGGATTAATTTCTAACAGAAGATTTAGTTGTTTGGATCTAAAACAGTGAAAATGTTGAACTTTATTAGTTGATTAATTATGTTTATTTAATTAAATGCTTCAAAGATTCACATTTGTTCATGTTTTGTTCCTTTTTCCTCCACATTTCAAATGTTTCAACATTAAATCACTTTCTTTCAGCTGTATCTGTAAAGTGATGATAGTCAGACTTACTACGGTTCTTCAAGAAGTAAACAATTAAAGCAATGATGYCGACAACAACAACAACAATAAGTGCTCCAACACCCAGAAGGAGACCCAGCTTGTTTCCTGGAACAGAAGAAAGATATTTTAATTTTTAAAAAAACACTCTTCATCTGTTTTTCTTCAAACTGATTAACTCTTTAGGCTGAACAGATTCAAGATGGCTGCCAACAGAACTCAGTTTTACAAACACTGAGCTCAGCTTTGGTGTGGTGTTAGCTGAGAGTCATCCCCAACGTTTACTCTGAGAAAACCAACTGTGTTTGTTAGCAAAAAATCTCATGAACTTGTGGACAGATTTGGATGAAACTGAGAAATTAATCTTTTTATTATTAATAAAGTCTGCAGCAGCCATCAGGTTGACAACATTGTTCAAACCATTTATTTCATTTTATTGTAACTTACCCTCCTCTTTATCCTCTGTTGGTTCTGTGGATCAAAACAAATTAAAAGTTAAAATGGGAACAAATGTCCTCATTAAGAATAAACAGTTCATATTTGCCCACCTTCAGAGTCCCGTTGAACAGTTTCCAGACTTCTGTTGACTGGAAGAGTTTGAGTTTGTTACAAACTGATTTTAATGTGAAACATTTTCACTTTTTTCACTTTAATCTGCTGAAAATCCATCAAACTCACCAACATTCAGGAGCACCTTCCCCCTCCTGACCTGACTGTGGAGTTTAGGAACATAACAGGTGTAGTTTCCTGAATCRTCCTCAGTCAGGTTGGTGAGTCTGAGGGAGATGTTCCCATGAACCATCTCATCATGAAACAGAGATGTTCGGCCCCTGAACCTGGCCTCCTGGAGGTCCGGGTTGTCCTTCAGGCTCCTGTACAGGTGCACCATGCCGGTCTGACACCTCCACTCTATCGTTAGTGTCGTCAGGTCAAATGGAGGCGCCAGGTGACAAGGCAGGATGACTTCCTGCCCCTCCAGCGCTGTGATTGGTTCATGTGAACCGATCACCTCAGACTCACCTGGAGACAAAAACAGATTTAACTCTCACTGCAACGGGACCAGATTCTTAAAACTCAAACAAGAGCACCACATAAAAAACAATACAAAGTTTGAGTTAGGCTTTTTGAGAATTAAAGCTAGAAGAAATAATACCAGAAAGTAATAATTCACGAATCTTAGAAAATTTATGTGTTGACATTTTGACCCAATGCATTTGTGGCAATATCTGGTGATTTTAATCATGCCTCACTGTCTGCTTCACTGCCAGCATTTCAACAGTTTGTCAGCTGCTCTACCAGAGAAAACAACACATTGGATTTGTTTTACGCAAATGTTAAGGATTCATATATCGCCAARGCAAGACCTGCTCTGGGTAATTCAGATCATAACCATGTTTATCTCTGCTCAGAATATAAACCACTTGTTCGYAGACAATCTGTAGCTACAAAAACTGTGAGAAAGTGGTCACAGYAAGCTAACAAATGRCTACAGGGTTATTTTGAAGCRACACATTGGATTGCTCTTTGCCAGCTACATGGAGATGACATAAATGCCATGACTGAGRGTGTGACTGACTATATAAACTTCTGTGTGGACAACACCATTCCCAGCAGAACAGTGAGATGCTTCCCTAATAACAAACCCTGGATCACCAGTGAGCTAAAGGAACAGTTAAACAATAAAAAAGAGCCTTTAGGGATCYAYACAGGGAGTTATTGAGGAGTATACAGAYGCAATTCAAAGATGAGATCAGAGACAGCAAGGAGGTTTATAGAAAGAAACTGGAGAGTAAACTGAAAGTGAACAATATCAGAGATGTGTGGTCAGGGATGAAGAAGATCACAGACTTCAAGCAAAATGAGAATTGGATGGATGGAAYTCTGGACAGAGCAAATGAGCTGAACACATTATTCAACAGGTTTAGCTCAGGCTCATGTTTTAGCGCATGTTTTATCTTCAACCTCTGTCATGGACTCTTCTACATCCACYAGTTTGTCTTCAACAAATCAGGAGATGCTGCTGATCCCTTTGCCTCCCCCTCCCTCTTTTCTGTATATAGAAGTCAGGTGAAGAGGCAGCTAGAGAGACTGAACCAGAACAAGGCTGCAGGTCCAGATGGTGTTAGCCCCAGAGTCCTGAAGGCCTGTGCAGACCAGCTCTGTGGGATTCTGCAACATCTCTTCAACCTTAGCTTGACCCAGGAGAAGGTGCCAGTGTTGTGGAAGGTACACTTCGCTGCAGCATGCAGAACCGGGCGGGGAC